TTTTCAGTTTTTTAGACTGAAATGCAACATTGCTTTGCCTTTTGCTTTCTTCAAGATTGAAGTTGTTGCGGGAAGGAATTTCTGGCAACAAGTGATTAGATATTGTGTCGGGTAGATTTAGCAGGCAAATAAATACACTGTTCATTCAGAGGATAATCAAAAGTTATGAGATGTTACTGCAGCTTAAAAGGTGCTTAAAAAACAAAGTATTAATTGAATTCCCAAAAAGAAATGTAAACCCCCTGAGGACTGATACCTCTTATTGTTCCTCAAGTTGTGACAAAATGCTGCTTCTTGTTTCTGTGCACTGTTATGTCTGCATTCATTGTGGTATAAATGCAGGATTCTGTAAGTTTGGTTTGTCTGCTTTAAAAGGTAGTGACTAAGGTGATGTTAATATAGAAAAGTGCCTTTTAAAAAATAAGCAGTATGTGTACACATTCCAAGTACCTGATTCGGCAGATACATATGACTAAATGCAGTCATGCAGCTCTATCAACCCTTAGTCCCAATGAATTTTCTTCAGATTAGCTTACTTTGAGTCTCTTTAGACTACATAATCATGTGGGGGAGTTGTCAGAAGACTTGCTGGAGGTACAGGATATGAGGTTATGAAATAATTAGATAAGAATAAATAATTTTTAAAAAGAATAAATAAATGTATGTTATAAAATTTCAGATTATTAAAATACAATTAAAATAAACATAAATATAAAAATTACTACAATTGTATAAGCAGATGTCATATGAAGAATGCAGAAGAATGAAAGAAACACTAAGCAGAAACTTTTGTAGTAATTGCATGTAGGAATAGGAAATTGCAATATCTAGCCCATTGAAAAAGCCATAAGACTTTCAAACTAGAAAAGAATAAAACTTAAAGCAGGAGATAATGACAATTTGAATATTTGAAACAACACAGAAGGAATGGATGTCAGTGGTAGCAATGAAGCTGGAAAGAAGCACTTAAGCCTGGTGAAGTACCTAGCACCTCTATTGTAGAGGTGTCTGAAGGCTTTCTAAAGTATGAGAGAAGATTTATATAGTTTAATTATAAAATGTAAAAAAACAAGATACAAAACATTTAAAACTGTGGTCTTAGACTCTGTGGTAAGAAGTGGTAACATTTTTGTGCCTGCATTAACCGGTATTTGGAAAATATTGATTTGGAAAGATCATGCCAGCCCTTCATTGAGGTTAAAATAACTGGTGGCTGTACAGCTAAGTACAGTTGAGAACGGTTGCTCTGAAATTTTCTTAGTATGTTAATCCAGGTTTCAGAGAAAACATTAAAACCTGTGGATAGAGAGAAATATTAGCAAAGGAAGTGGTCGTAAGTCTGTCAGTGTCCGTAAAGGAAGAGACAGACAAGTAGTTATTCCTTGTACAACACTAAGGATTATTTGAATTCCTGCATCATCACAACTGCAGCACTACTTGATTTTTCTTCCCTTCTTTTTCCCAGTAGCTCATTTGCCAGCACTTATAAGTCAGTCTAGATTGGAATTCCAGTGCACCTGTGAGATGGCACCTCTGAAATAAATCTTCTGTGTACAAAAAACTCACTTGAACATTTGCTATTAACAGAAGTAGCTTGTTATAAAAATATCTAAACTAAATTTTCATTTAGTATATAGGTAGTGGAACAACAGAGGGAATATAATACATATATATATATATATATAAAATATATATTACTATAATGCAAATGCATATAGGTATATTGTATAGGAAAAGGTTACAAAAATTCCCAGGTCAATAGGAAAAAAATTCTGGGCTGATGAAAGTAGAATTAATGAGTTTGGGTTTATATTACTATTAATCTTTAAGAACTTTCTGGAAGAAAAGTGCATTATTTGAATTATTTATCATATGTATTAATGTATTTGCACATTAGTAAAACTTAATGCTTTCTACGTTATTTCTTTACGATAGGCTAGTATAAAACATTGTGAAAATCTCTAGGAGATTTCACCTTTTATCTTGGCTTGGTTCAAGAGATTTCACCTTGCCTCAGCAGCTTATTCTTTATGCCTACTTCTAAGAGGATAAAACTGATTAACAGATTAGTAATAATTTAGTATTTTGGTAAGATTAGTAGCAATGTGGATGTGGGGGTTTTTTTGTGTGTTTTTTTTTTTCCCCCTTTACATTTAAATAGGATTCTAGGACTGGAAAGGATCTCCTGTGTTATTGTCTGCTTTGCAGTGACTTGTATCATTTAACTTCTCTAATGAAATTGTCAAACTTGACTTTTAAGAAGATTTGGGTTTCTGCCCCTGAGATTTTACTTGGAAAAACTATCCACATCTTTTTAAGTATGCAGCCTGATTCTCTTCGTAGTCACCTGATAGTCACTTTTGTTGGCCATATCTTGGTTTTTCTTGTTATTTTCCTTCTGTTCTAGATCTTGATATCTCTGTAAGGTTCTATTACTTTCTTTTTCAAGTTCATCGAGACAGATTAACCAAACAAAACTTTGTCTCATCCCATAAGATACACTATTTCCTTAATTACAATATCTTTATCTTCTTTCCAAACAATCTATTTGATATTTTATTTATTTATTTATTCATTGACAAGGGAGTGTAGGGTTTATGCATTATACACACATTGAAGTTTTACCAGTGCTTTTTCCTAGAGCATGATCCCTCTCTATTGAATATGCTTAGAATCAAAGGTATAGATTTTTGTTTGTAGAGGCACGTCTCCATTCTTGTACTTGGCTTCTGTGGTTTGTTTCGATTAAATGCAACACTGTACTTCATGGTAAAAGTGTGTAGGTTAACAAAATTACCGTCGGACCTTGTATCCTCATATAGCATATCTTAGATGTTTCTATCTTGGCTTTCCTATAAATACAAATATTTTGATTTCAGTGGAAATCATCTTTGTTAATTGACTTACAAAATCTATTTCAAAACATTCTTTTATGATTCAGTTTCTGTTGAATGTGAGGTCAGCAGGCCATTGTTTAACAATTTAACAGTATGTTTCCGCCGGATATGATGAGGCAGAGTGTCGATGTCTAAATTGGTAAGTAATTGTGAACACAAAAGTTGTTTCTGAAGGAATTTATGGTGTGTTTAAAAGACGCTGGAAGAGGTTACTTGACATGATAGGCTCCTCTTTTTTTGAGTTGCTAGCCTAAATCAGTGTTTTGTAACTTCTGTTTGCCTGATAGAGAGGTAGTGTCTCTAGATTGTACTGGTAACACACCCGAAGTATATGAGATGACAGCAAGAATCTAGTGAAGCCTAGTTTTCCACTGCATTTCAAAAATTGTAAAAATTATAAAACTTGAAAAATCTTATTGGTAGAAATAAAAATTTTATATGGTTTGGATCAGAAGTCAGGCTACAGATGTTGGAAGTCTTTAGATTTAGTCCATGTCTATCCTGTTTTTTAGCCTGTCATTTCATTTCCCTTTGAGCAGTCTGTAACACTACTAGATTGTCTTGTACTTTTATGTCTGACCTGTTCCTAGGATACTTGTTACATCTTGCTACATCTTGTAGCTTCCTTGCTACATCTTGTAGCTGCTAAAAACTATACAAAAGATACCATTGCCTAGGTGTGTTAGGATTTTATCAGTCTATTAAAAATCAATCAAACAAAGGTTTTTTTGTGTCTTAGTGCTGGAAAGATGTATTAGCTCATATACTAGATAGCAGTGTATGAAGGATATCACAATATTTTTTAAAAAGTAAGCATGACATGAATGAAATTGCTAAATAAAAGTAGCAACCTAAGAAGTCTTTGAATTTGAACTGCTATCAGTGGCCTTTGATATACTGTAATTGTGGATATAAATATCTACACTCTCAGGCCTTGCAAAGAACCCTGGTTGGAAGACAGAGTCTAAAATGTTTGTTTCTGCTCTTCCTTAGGGATAGGAGAGGAGTAGTTGCTGGGTATGAGACTAAGATCTTCCTTCCTTGTAATTCTGAAATCAGTGTTCAAGGAATTTTGTGCTCTGTTCTCCTCTCATCACACTCATTCACTGGCATTGACCAGACTTACTGTTCTTGTTATTTAAATTTATCCTCCATATTCCCTCCTTTTTCTTCTTCCTCTAACCATAGTTATTTGAAGGTTAAACAATTAGAATCAATTAGTAAAAATAATCTATGTAGCAAGTTTGCTATTTTTATCATTAGGGAAAAAGCAATCTGACCTGATGACCTACTCAAGCCACTGTAAAGAAATGCATTGTATGATAGTATGAAGACAAAAACTCACTTTTTTCAATAAAGAATAATTAATTGTTAAAAGCTTTTTAAAACTTTCTCATTTAATTTCAGTGACCACTTTGCTATATACATTTTTTATTTATTTCCAAATCTCAAGGGAATACATTCATGTAAAATGGTGCTGATACATGGCAAGTTATTTAGCCATTGCGGTTGGCAGGCGTGGGACTCTGTGGTTTAGTGTCTTCTTATATCTTTGTGCAGGCACAGACTTTGGAGGAAGCAGAAGGGGGGAAGGGAGAGGTACATTTGTTTCCTCATGATTCTGTTTTTATTCAAAGTAGAGTTGATAAGTTTTTTTTTATAATTTGCTTCTTGCTATTTTGAAATTTTTTTGAAGCCCCTGTTTCAGAGATGACTGTTGCATTTGAAATACAGGATTGGGTGTCTCTTTGAAATGCCATCCTGTTTAGAAAGAACACCTACCATTTAAGTAAAATTATAGTGCTCTCAAAGCAAAAAAATAGTCTTTTGTCACTCCTGTATATTTATGCATATTTCATTTTAACAAGATGGACTTTTTTCCAGCTTGGCAGAAGTAATCATTGGCAGATTTTATTTTATTTTTTTTTACTTTTTAAAATCCCAGTGTGAAGACTTCTCTTTCTGTTTAATAATTCCTCTTAACAGCATAGATCATTTGTTCTTTTTTTTTTTTTTTCCCTTCAGCTTTTTCATAAATACAACCAGTTCCATTCAGGATTGGATGATTCCATTGTTTTGGTTGTGTGGGCTTTTGGGTAAAATCAAGTGCTTTTCTCTCGAAGCCAGCTGTAGTTCAGGGGGAAAGGAGGAGGAGGCTGATGTGATGTGGGGAAGTTGGCATGGACTCTTTGGTTGTTATACCCAGTAGGCAGACAAAGCTGTGGGTGATTTGTCCTTGCCCAGCCTTTTTTTACGAGGCAACCACTGCAAAGTGGTCACTTTCCTCCACTTATGTGGTTGCAAAATCTTTAGAACAAAAAAGGAGTTGGACTTCATTTAAGACAAGAGATTTAGCAAAATATAGGCAAGTTTGCAAATTGGAATGAGTTTGAGTAACGATGAGGAATGACAGACATATTATCATTGCACTAAAGAATATTAAGCATTTTGTCTTCTTCCCTTTACAAGAAAATAAAAATAGATGGTTGCACAGAGTATTTCTAGACTACTCCTTATTTAATTATCTCTGAAACGGCACATATCTGTATTTTGTGGTGTATCATTGGAAATAATCAGTTTTTATGGCTTTCTCTGTAACTTTTTCCGAGTGGTGATTTTTTTTACTTTTCGTAGGAGATTATCTGCACAGACTTTTGTAGGCTGTAAACAGAACTTGCAACAACCGAGTTTGTGGCTGTGGGCTGAGATGATCTTCAATCTCTAATCAGATTGGCCCCAAGAGGGACCAGTGGGTGGGGAGGGGGAGAATGGTTAGAAACCAAGAAGCACAATGTAAATGTGCATGTAATTTGAAAATGCACCTGCCCATGGTTCCACATCTGTGCATGCAGAATTGTTTCTGGCTGTAATAATTTGGTCTATATTCAGATTTGACTCTACATAATAATACAGGCATTTTATTTTTACTTCATCAAGCTTTCTTTTTGCTACTTGTTAATTTTTGTTCATTTTACTAGTTTGAGTTTATTTGTGAATAATAAAACAAACATCTTTTTCCTCTGTGCATAGTTAACAGTGGTAGAAATGATGATGCTGGTGAATCATTTGGTGTGGAAAATATGATTGACCATACAGAACAGAAACTTTGCTTACATGCACCCACTTATTGGACAGTCATATATATGATTCTTCTCATCGGACTTTTTTTTAGCTTTCTTATTACATTCAGTGTGGTATGGGTTACAGATGGTCAGCACAGCAAAAAGGAATGAATGTTAACCAGATTAATCTAGTTCCTAATAATCAATTTGAACTTGGCATGCAAAAGAACAATTACCAGATGCTTTTAAAAATCATGGCCTTGGTTGTTATTTTACCCTGCTGAAAATTCCAGAAAGTCAAACTGGTCTGTCAATGCATCGTATCCAGTTTCAAGTGCTTACTTACCTTTTTGGAGCATAGCAATTGATGACCAACATATGCTTCTAATGGTACCTTGCATAAAGTGAATCAAAGGTGTTATAACCCATTCTGCAGTGACTGCTTTAGGATTCTGAAATGTCATTTGTTATTCTTGAAGCCATACATGTTGGCAGTTCAAGATAGCATGCTGGATAACTGCAGTCAGATCAGGGCTTATTTGAAATGCTGATAGCTTTGTTCTCACACAGTTGCGCACTTGCTGGCTTTAGAGGCAAGAAGTAATTGAAGTGAAATTACCTGCTGATAATATGTAATTAGTTGAGTAAAAGTATTTGTTGCTGTGAGGAAAAGAAGTGAAGCCATTCAAGAAGGACAAATATTATCTCTAAAGTATTTTTGTAAACATTGCAGGGACAAAACCTCCAAATTTTTTCTATGCAGTTACAGAGGATCTGATATAATGAAAGGATGTGTTTGTCATAATCTTAATAACACATCCATCCATGATTTCATGGCTTGGTGATGCATAATAAGAACACTGCCACTTGTAGAGAATCAAAACATTTGAGCATGCTGTGGGAAAATACTTAGATTTATGCTTCCAAATGATAAACGTTTTTATGGTAACAGTGCCCCCTACAGTGCAGGAAGAAAGGGTAAAAATATTGAGACCTGGGTGGCATGAAGGCTGTTAGGTGGTATGTGCGTAATGAGCTTGTAACAGTAGATGTTTGTGTTTGGAGCACCTTGAATGTTCAATATTGGGCATGGAAAATGCCGGGTGGGTATCAAACATAAAGAATGTAGACCAGAAGTGCCCAGCTGCAGCTGCTCTGGCTTGGTTTGGACTCTAGTGTATTGTCAGAATCCACAGGCCATCCCTATTCCTTGTAGGGGGCACTGAGAATTCATGGCTTGCTGCCATACTCAAGAAAAATGCATGTGATCAGAACTAAATGGATTAACCACCAGTATTTTTGAGTCAAAAAAGAAATTACTCCTTTTTTTTTCACTTGTCACTTTGCTTGCTGCTCTTTTCTTCTGCTGTGTAAGAAGAGGTGAGGATGGGGGGAGAATTTGAAAGTTCAGACGACAAAACTCAGTCTTGTTTTTTTTTTTTGTCTTGCTGGGAAAGGTGACTGTCTCAACTAGGAGACGAAAATTCAAGCAGCTCAACTGAATAACTAGGTTTTAAAATGGTGATGAATAAGGCTGGCTGTGTTGGTTCCTCTGTTTTCCTTTCATCAGAAGTTAGTCTCCTGACATTTTTACTCCACATTTTTATGGTCATGGAGCTTACATCACATACAGGTTTCTTTGACTATGAACATTACTGCCCATCTTCCTGCTTCTGATCTATTCCAAAAGACTAAGACAGCCCATGAAAACCGAGTTTTGTATATTCCCTTTTAATATCTGAGGTCTTGTTCACTTAGCTGCTGGCAATACAATCTCCTGCTCCCTGCAGACTTGTAGTTGCTAGGATCTTTGTGTATTAAGTGTCTGTCTTTTCACCCCCAGCTGGCTGGGTGCCAAATGGCTGAGACTTCAAGCAAATGAGATTATTTTACAATGACTCGTTTGTTATTAGAACTTGGAAGGGTTTCTTTATATGCTAAATGAAGGTCCAAAAAGTTTTCTTAGTTTGAGACAGCTGCTTATCCCCTGGCAGGAATAGAATTTTGACTTTGCTTGTAGTGCTCTTCAAATATTGTGGTTAATGCCAGAGACTTCAATTTCTCAGTAAAAGACAGGAAGCCATCATTTCCTTGCTGTAAGCAATATATTTTTAATATGGTATTCTGTATGAAAATACCCTGTGAACCAGTAGCTTCAAGGAACTGATTCACCTTTTTGTTCTGTGTAAATTTCTTTTCTGCATCTTTGTAAGTTAACAGTTCTGAATTTAAGTAATAAAAAAATAATCTTATTTTTTTATTTTGTGTCCTTGTTTAAGCGATTGTTAGGATGATGACTCTAAAAAAAGAAAAAAATTTCGTGAAAGTTCCAGCATCAATTGTGGAACACATTTCTGCATCTGAAAATTGTAGCACTGCACAATAAATGAAAAGTGCATTTAAAAAGCCCACTTTTTTAAAATAGGGTTTGCAAGAAGGCAGGAGCCAACACTTGAAATTAAATATTCAGAGATGTGATTAAGTGAATATGTTTTCACAAAAGCATTTATGATTTTTTAGCAGCAGGAGAGCTTCAATCTCAATAAAAAACAATAGGGAGGAACCTATTTAACATCCAAAGTCAGAGGGGCAGAACCATGAGAAAAGTTCCAGTTCCTTGTCTCTGAGAATAATACTGTCAAATATAATTTCCATTGTAGGAGGAGAGGTGAAATTTAGTGAGTGTGAAATTCTCTACTGGGAAATTTAAATACTTAAGTAGGACTGTATGGGAGTGGATATTTGAACAATCAAACCCATGCAGGAATTTGGGGTTGACACTGTGTTCATTTCATGTGTTAGATATAAGATTTCTAAGATGCACATCCCAGACACATTAAACTCTAAGGCAACTTTTGTCTTGATGTTTAAAAATATTCTTGAGGCAGATAGGTCTGACTGAAATTAAACTGTCAAATAATCTGTCAGTACTAGTTAGATGGGGGTGGACATGTATTCACCCACACTAAGATGCAAATACTTCCCTTGTGAAATGTGACAGCTATGTAACGTTGCAGAGGAGCTCTACACAACAGTTCAGGATTTAAAATGGGGAAGTATTTATTCAGCTGAACTTACACTTGGAATTTTAGATAATCAGAAAGGAAAGTCACAGGAATGTGACACAGAAAGGAACATTAAACTGTAGGAATGTACCTTATATAGTTTGCCTACTCTGAACTGAAAGCAATTGTAGATTACAGACTTGAAAGGACTTAAAAGGCTTTCCTCATGTTTCAAGTCAGGATCACCTATATCTGCACTCTTCTCTGTCTAACCTGTTCTCAGAATGTCCAGTGATGGAGATACCACAAGCTCCCTAAAAAGTCATTGCCAGTGTTAAACTATCCTTTATTCTTAATATTGAACGTTAAGTCCCTTTATATATACTCTTTACTGCCTCTCTAAAGGCAGAACTAAAGACTGTCAAAATTTCCTTCGGTCTGTCTTCTTTCCCCTAAGCTCTTAGCTCTTTAAATCTTGCGTTTTATAGTGCATTCTGCAAATTTTTTTCTGGTGTTGGTATTGGACTCTCTTTGAATACACAGAACTAGACTGAGTGTTACATTAGAGGTCTTGTCAATGCCCAAATGAGTGTCAGGATAATATCAGATACCTAATGTATTAAATACCTCTTTTGATGTTCTGAGTCTGAAAAAGAAAGATGCTCTGAGAAAAGTCCCAATAAAGCTGTTAGCTTTATCCAATTTAGCCTGACAGTGAGTGTTGCAGATTATGACATTATGATAACTTGTTCTAATATTTTTTATAAGAAAGCCATAGGAGTCATCTGAATTAACTCCTTTTCAAATAGAGTGCCTCTTTCAGAAACAGAAATCTAATAATATCGAAATAGCATGACCATATTGATTTTTCAGTAAGATGCATAGATTTTTAGATACTTAAATTAAGCAAAAAAAGACGTTGGGCCAGCAAAATAATTGTTGTGTAATCTAATTCTACATAGCCTCAGCTGTCAGAAATTGGAACTTGCAGTTTCTTCGTCTGCAAGGCAGATAAATCAATAGATAATGAGATTTCACTTTCTAGTACTGATGCTTATCAAAAATGATCAAATCACATCCTGGCTCGCCTTTAGAAATTAAACAGTTTAATCCTCTGCTGCCAAGTACAGGAGACCATGTTTTTCGGTTCCTTAATTATTCTGTTATTCTTCCTTGATTCCTTTCTCCAGTGGCCTGGAGAAATTTTTGAATTTAAAATTTTTGAATTTTAAATACTAGATGTGGATAGACTTCCAGTTGTGGTTGCATCAGTGCCAAAAGCAGAGGTGGTAAATCCATATTCTTTCATACTGCCAAGTTTATGGCAAAACCAATTCATTAAGAATACATGGTCATCTAATTACCCACTACATAAGCTAAATTTCGTTGTTGCTTTTCAGAATAGAGTCCCTGTTACATCAGAGCAGCTTGTATTCCATGTTGCCACGTGTCTGATGTAATATTTTGCAAAGTCTGAATCTGTGTTGCCGTTAAGCTATACTTGTGCAGTCTCCTTGTTACATTACCAGGTTATCTAGTTTTTCCATAAGCCAAGGTAAAATAGTAGTACTGTCCTTGATGTTTTCATTTGTTCTGTTACTGTGAGAAGTCTACATCTCTGTGTCCCTTTATAAAGAGCAGCATATTAGTTTTCCTCATCTTGATTACTCCAGAACCCAACCATTGACTTTTCAGCTATTTCAATTTCGTTTTAGAGTTTTTTGGACTTGACAATGTGACTGTGCGGTTTCAGTGAGGCCTCTTCAACATCCATATCAACTGATGTTAGAATGCAAAGAGTTTAATTAATAACATCCAATAATATCTTTTCCCAAAAGGGGAAAGTGATTGATAAATATTTATGGGTGGTAGAATTGCTAAAATTCTTTTTGTTCCTAAAGTATTAGCAAAACTTTTAATGTCCCTTAAGTATGCTGACAGTGACATTTCCACATATCTTTGGGCTTTCCTGAGTGGTTTTCTACAACTCTTAAGTTTCTATTTATATCTGTTGCTATCAAATTTCTGTTTTGAGCATTGTATTTCTATATGTATGAGATACACACTTTAAAGCTCCTTTTGCAACCTGGCAATTTCTCTGTTTAATGCATTTATTTTTTTGAAAGCAATTAAAAAAATAATTCTCCTTAAGGTTTATTTGCATGCTTCTCTTTAAATTATTTTCCTTGTTTTGTCAAAGTGTTTCTAGGTTCACAGAAGGCTTAGACATATGTTGAATCTTTATGCCTCTGTGTGCTGACAGGTTTTCCTGCAGTGAATACATGTAATTAAAGGAAGTACTGGTTGCAGATGGAACCACAGCAGCTACAAACACTTCTGTTAAGAAACAGTATTGCTGATAAAGTGTTTGGGGAGGGGATTTTTATCTCTTAAATCTCCAGTTTCTGGTGAGCGCCCATAACAGAGACAAAAACTTTATTGTGACCTGCTTGTGATCCCACTGGTTTCCATTTCTTTACTGATCCTAGTCTCATGATTAGAACTGTGTTTGAAGAGTTGTACAGTCCACATTTGAAACTTTCAGGTAGAAAGCCCTGGAACCCAAATGGCCTCTTCCTGAGTGATTCTGTCTAGAGGTGTATATATCTCTAGTATTATTATATAAAAGCTGCCATTTTTGTTGTGTTTAAAAAAGAATAAATCATGCTGTTTTCCTATCCCTAAACAGGTGTTTGGCAAGGAAAATCCTTTTGGGTGTTGTGGACAATGACTCCCAAATTTCCCATGACATGGCTTACTCAGAGCTACAAAGCAATGCTAAATTTACATAAAACAATGTTTTACAGACATTTTTGTCCTAATGTTCTTTACTTTTGTTCTGGACAGCTTTCTCTTAGTATTTTGGCTTTCTAAGCCACACCTGGAATTTGGAATTAATGTGTGTAACATAATGTTATGAGTTCTTATTAAAAGTTAGTCATCTGACACCCAATACAGACCTGGTTCTAGTGTGCTCATGCTAAACTGGTGTCCCACATGAGCAGCCTCAGCCTTTTCTTCTGCTATAATTCCCTCCAGATTATGTTCCTTATAGGATTAGAGTGACAGTAATCCTATTACTTTGTGTTGTCTCTTTGTCCTTTATTAATAAGGATCCTAGTTATTAATAAATGGAAGTAAAATTGACAACTGACCAAGGAGCAAACTAATTATTAGTACTAAAAGCTGAACCGATGGGCTTCTTATACATTCACATTTCTGTCAAATTTAGCAGAAGAGAACCCTTACCAAGTATTTTTCAAATGGCTCCTAGTATATTTCCTGGAATATAGAATTGATGTTGGGAGTGGATGAAAGAGTAATTAATTTTCAAAATATATCTTAATACTTTACTTAAAATTTGAGGGAATTCTGCTTTTTCAGGAGGAAACCATATACTTGGGAATTCTTTATTTAAAACAGGTACTCTTGATAGGAGCTATTTTGTTTTCTGTTTCTGTGAAAAAAAAATTATCTTTAAGCAGTTATGTAGACTGGCATCTATCTTGAAGGAAATTAAGTCAATTTTGAAAGTAGAATAGAGGTACACAGAAGTGTGAGTGATCTGTAGATCCCTTACCCTTACTAGATCTGTCTAAATCTCTTATATCATACACAGAAACTTTGACTGTATGTAAGTAGTTTATGTGTTGTGCAATCTGTGTAGTCTATTGGGTCTCACCTAAAAAATCCACTGCGTAGGCTCGAAGGGTTAATGACCTTTACCAAATCTTCGCTCTGGAAGACTGGCCATACATATTGAGTGATGGATGTGACTGGTGACTGAGTGTCCTGAATTGATGTAATGCTTGGTCAGAGATAGCTGAAAAGCATCTGGTGGTAGACTCTTGCAGAAATGGGGGCTTGGGCTTTGTTTGTTTTGTTGGTTGTTTTTTTTTTTTCTACTTATAAAATAATGTATGGAATTGGCTGTAGAATTGGTTTCTTTTCATCTTACTGAAATTAGGAATCTGTTTTCCCAGATGTAATATATGGCATAGAACTGGTAAGACTACAGCTTCAGAAACAGTCAATGCTTGTGAGCAACAGACTTTTCACTTATGGTCTTTAGACTTTTTTTGGATTAAAGGAACTAGGAGAAAGATTTGATTTTGTTAGTGATTCATCATCTTTTTTCTGCCTGCTTGCTGAAGGGCATGAAACTTTCTGCTCCATTTCTCAACATCCTTGGTGAGAAATCCAATCTGTTTGTGAATTAGCTACATAAATGGATGCCTGTCAGCAATTTGGCACTTGTCACGTTCTTCTCCTAAACGTTTTACAGGAAGCTCCATAATTCTGCACAGGGGTGGACAATGTTGGGCTGCACAGAGAACATGTACAGGAACTGTGTGAACCTTTCTGCTGAGGTTCCCCTGTTGTCTTAGAGACAAGGCATTAATGGATTGACGTTATTAGAGCAGTGCTCCCAAACTCTCAGCAGTTTGCTGCTCTCCCTCAGTGCTTCTGCTTGTGAAAGTTCTCAGGGAAGTTATGCAGCATATGCAGATATGGTAGATGTAATAATGTTTTTGCCAACAACAACAGGATGCAAAGACCAGTTCATCTTTTGAGTCTCATTGTTGTGGTTTAATTATTATTACTTTTCTAAATGTTTCTACTGAATTAACCTTCTAATCTACGTCATAGAGCAGTCAGCTACACAAGCGTGCTTTGATTTGCACGGCACCTTAACTTTTAAAATTTTTACGTGACAAAATTATTTCAATGTTTTCTCAATTTCTGAGATATTGAACTTTTCCTTTACATCTTCTTGATGCTGCATCATCTTCATTGCATTGGAAGCTATAATAGAATATTCACAAAATGCTGAAGAAGTAATAGTGAAAAAGATATAACTCTTGGAGAAGATGGATTACACTTTAGAGACAAGGGCTGTTTTAAATTAAGGTAGTCTTTGTATGGTATTAATGAGAATCAACTTCCAAGACATAATCACCATATTTTTGGTAATCCATCACATGTGGTAATTGAGAATGAAATGCTTTCATAGAATTTTCAATGAAAAATAAATCCAATCTTTTTAATGGAGACGGAGATAGTTATATTGGTGTCCTGTGGTAGTACAAATAAAGTTACACTAATTATGCTAAAGTTCTCTTTGTTTGAGAGAGAAGTGTTATTATTTAAAATTTCTTATGGTTAATTGTATTGAGCTGTGGTGGGTTGACCCCAGCCAGCAGCCACTTGCCAGACTCGGTTCAAGAGCAGTGAGAGAAGACTCAGGACTGCTTGCCCTGAACTGGGAGTTTTTAAAGTCTGCGTTGAAGTAGCGTGAGTAATATGATGTATACTCAGTATTTTTGTCAGCAATCAATTTAAGTGAGAAAAGGCAAGCCAACATACAGTGGCAGGAAGCTTAAGTAGCAAGAGAAACCTGTTTGTTTAAAGATACTATGCAAAGGAAGCAACTCCTGTCCTGAATAGCCACAGGGAACAATCTGTATTGAAAAAGGCTGATGAAAAGGTTGTTCAGAGTTCAGGCTGTCTCCAAAATAGCGATGTTCCTATGTCTCACCGTGGCCATGTTTTTTCTTTTTCACAGATACTTTGTGATGGAGCTACCCTGACTTTTTGCTTTGTGGATCTTCATTGTCCAAGTCAGTGTGTGTGGGCAATGTACTCTGTTCCTGGTTTGAGAGAGATGAAGGAATCTTGCTTCTGCAGCAGATCACTGCTGCAAACAGAATTAGCAAAATATTTGTACATAACAAAATATTTGTTATCTAAAATATTGTTTACATCATAAAGAAGTCAGTAAGAAGTTTGCTCCTTTCTGGTGGCTCACTTGGAAACAGCTTACTAACTTCTATTCTGCAGGCAGCAAGTGCTTTATAGAACATGTAATTAATCAAGACTTGTAGTAAAAAAGTAAAAAGAAAGTAAATAAGGAATGGCACTGCCCACAGTAATGCATGAAGAAACTTAACGGATGTTAGGAATGTATCAAATGATAATGATTCTCTGAAGTTACCTCTAAAAATATATCTGTAGAATAAACCTAAGTGAGAATACAGGCTCAAGCACTGGCCCAAAATCACAGAAACTTTTCAGTGGTTTAACTGCATGCTTCCTGATACATTTCGAACTGTGGCACATCACATTCGTTCAGATGATGTCCAGGCAGTTTGGGTCCTAGCATTGTTTAAAATAAGCAATGGGAATGTTGTCTCCCAGCATTGAGGAAAGAGGTCAGCTGTGTGGCAGTGAGCCATTTTTGTGCCACTTAGCTATGGATCCAGAGAATGGTTCCTGGCTAGTATATTGGGTATATTCTTAGTAACTTGTCTGTTTCACTTAGCAGTTAGTTTGGAAGCAAAACTTTTAATATTTTTTTAGGAATTCAAAGGCAAAATGGAAGCAAAGACCTATATTGCTCTTTCCATTTACCACTTTAACCCATGTAAATCTGGGTCCTTGCTGCTATTCTCAAGGCTCATGAGACAATCAAAATCTTTCCTATGCCCCTATTCTAAGTTTATTTTCCTTACTCTGGTCATCTCTCTTCCTAGTCCATCAGGATTTCTTCAGTTGCTCCTTTACCTTTCCAGTGCAAGATATTTGTTCATAATCTGTCTCTCTGTACGTGTGACAAATGGACTTGACCAGAGCCTGTCTTGAGCAGTACTTCAACATAGGTAGTATCAAGTTGATCAGTACTACTTCTTATATTTTCTGACCCTTTTCTTTCTTGTATAACTGAAGACCGATTTCCTGGGGAAAACAGAATAAGGAAAGAAATAGCAGTCTCCTGCCTATCCTTGCTGTTTGTCTGCCTGGCAAGTGCAAATGCAGTTACTGGAAATGTCTAGAGGGAGCCACTATTTCTGAGATGTGTTAAGCACAGCATGAAACATTCTAGATTAAGGTGGAGATACCACTGCTGCTGGAGCAAGCTGCACCTCCTGTTCTTACTGAGATGTTGCTACGTATATTCCAGATAGCCATAGTGTAAACTTCTATTTAAACTCCCGTGTTTGTGTTAGTTTGTAGTAACTGTACTGGTGTATATGTGAAGAAAGTCTTTGAATAATAGCTGGTATTTCTACAAACCCATGGAGTCTTGTGGTATTTTTGTTTATGCATAAAAGAAAGACTAATATTTTCATGATATCTTTGTGCTTGGTAAATAGAACCTTTTAAAAAATCTCTTGAGTTTTGCAAGTGGGTTATTAGTTACTGCCACAGCTAGGTGAAAATTAAGACAGTCCTCTTGGCCACAAATTGGCTTTTAAGTTTCATGATTTTTCTGTATTCTGACCTCTGCAGACAAAGGAAATTCTGACTTCTAAAAATAAAATGCTTTGTTATTTTAAGAATATAAAAGAAGAATGTTTAAGTTTGGTTAATATGATTGTTTCAAAATTTCTGTACATTTATATCTTTATATTAAACCAGTTGTATCAATGTAAGACATTAATTTATTTATGCACATATTAGGGCCAGTTCAACAACCTTGTTTAGGTTAGGTCAAGGTTACTTGTTTTAGCAAGTTAAGTCAACAAACATTCGGTGTGACTCAGCTTCTCCATATGCTGTGTGAAGACATTGTTTATCCCGCAGACTTTAGTGTGCTGGATCATTATCTTTGTGCTGTGAAAGACTTCCAGGTTTTATCAAGGTTCTTGTTGCAGTTGCTGTTATGGTAATCACTAAGGACTTCTCTAAGTGGATGGCTTGTAAAAAGCTAACTAATTTAGAAGAGAAAAACAGTGATCACTAAAGATGATGTAGTTCAATTTAATGTTTGATCAGGGACTGAAAAAATCAAAAAGACAACTGTCATTACTTCCTAGAATAAAGCAAGAGAAAGTAACTCTTACAGGAGATGTGCAAAATTGTAGTAACATACAAAAAGACGAAAACAGGAAGAGGACTATTTTTTTTTTTCTTTTTCACCCTTAACAATGAGAATCTATCTACCTATATGTTACAAAAACATTACGATTTTATTAAGTTGAAAGAAGAATTTTTGCAAAATTATCACATCTACAGACTTTTTTCACATTAGTAATTGCACTGAAACCATCATCAGTGTTTAGAGTATGTTCTTCCAGATAAAGTTCTTCGTGTGGAAGAAATTTATTTTTCATCTGTTTTTCATTTGAGATACTTACTATACTGATCTTCCAAATACATAATTATTAAACCAAACTGATGAGAGAGTTGTCTCACTGTAGGCAGTCTCGCCTTTCCTTTAAGTAAATTTCTATTTGAAATTTTGTTTTACCACAGCAAAGAAGAAGAGTGAATAGGTTCTCCATTCAGATAACTGTGTATATGGTTTGTTATTATTAATTTTTGAAAGCTTCACAATTCAATTGTGAAATATGTTAGCATTTAGCTATGTCAGGTATTCTAAAGTTCTGTAATAATAAAACCATTTGATTGTCACAGTAAGTGGATAGAGTTTTACATATGACTAATCTTGCCTTTTGTCACTTTGTCTTTGATCCTTGTTTTGAGAACAACTGTTAATAGGACAGTATGATAATGGATGTACAGAGTTCAGCTTGTGTTTGCATGTGGAGGGACATACGCCATTGAAATTATTGACTGGTGCAATGGATTAAATGAATTACTGAATACTTATAATTAGAGGTTCTAATTATTGAAGTTTGAGTATGCAGTTTTTTTGTAGTATCACTTGGAGGCTTTTTTAATGGAAATCCAGAATTTGCATAATCATTTGGGTTCTGTATAGTTATTGGTGAAATATTTTGGTGGATTTTCTTGAGATGTTCACAGTTGCTAAGGGTAAAAACACTGCAATGATTGCTTCTGTTTTAATATCCGCTGAGGGAAACCTAGTGCTGAGGCTCCTTTTAACTACTGCACCTTAGATTGAACCACACTGAAAGCCATTTGAGTAATACATTCTACTTCACACTTGGAGTAGGCAAACAAGGTGTTTATGGACAGTTGTGATGTCTTAATGGCTACTGATGACTTCTTAAGCACCCACAAATAAATCCTGTTTCTGAACCCTACATAAGCAGTTTTACACTCCTGATTCTTAGAGAAATTTGCATTTCGTCATTATGGCAATTACAATGACCATTTAAGTCTAGTAATTCCACTTTAAGCAGCTCTTATATTGCAAAAAAGGTTTTATTAGCATTGAGGAACTTAGCTCCAATACCATTGTTTCCTTATTTTGTCCTGTGTTTAGCAAAACTGAATGCTATTTATAGTGTTGTAGTACCAAGCTATAGTGTTGTAGTACCAAGCTTCGTGGTTGTTTTTTTTGTTTACTTTTGTCTGTGCAAATCAACATTATTGTTGGCAGGAATAAGTTTAGCTGAGGGAATTTCTGTCATTGCAACAGTTGGTCTTTATATAATGTTTGAATAATTGCACCATTGAAATTGCTTTCTTGACATGAAAGTAGTTTATCTGGGGAAAACTAATTCAAACACAAAAATAATTGTTGTATATAATTTATCAAAAAATGTTGTGATTGAATTTACTTTTTTCTACAGAATATAATAAATGATACCTCAAGATACACATATTTATACACACATATGTAATATGTGTAGTATCTCATATAGTTTTTTTAAGTAGAAGTGGACTTGATTTGAAAAAAGCAAATGGAATGGGAATATAGAGAGAGAGCAATCAATTTAAGTCATAATGAGTTTAGAGGAAAATGCCTATGGTATCTCTGAAATCAGTGAAATTAGAAAAATCTTGCAGTGTCTGAAAAGGATTAGCAGTGCCCATTTTGAAGGGTGGTATTTCACTACTTCTGTAGAAGGAAATTATTATGAATGCCATTAGGTTTGTACACTGTGGCAAGATAGGAAGTTTTTGAATTAAAATTATAATTCCACCAGGATTACTTTCTCATGAATGTTCTAAATTTAAAATGTTTAAGAGAAGAGTCAATCTGCCGCTGCCAGTGGCACTGGGGTGAGGGAAGAAGTGCTTGTTCAGCCGTGGAGCCTGGTGACACAGGCATCGGAGTGGCTCCAACAGGCTTTTAGGTTCGGCTCAGCGCTACTGGGTCAAGCATTGAATGACTCTGTTAGACACTCAGGTGTCAGTGCCTGTGTCATCTGCTATTACCTAGGCTACATTAGAACCAGTATGCATGCAGAGTGTAATTGCAGTTCAGGTTACATCTCCCTTCAAAAGCTTTGATTCTCTCCCACTTATGCTTAATGTAAAGCAAATTTCTTTGAAAGCTAAAGCAACTATTTTACATCTGAGCCATAATTTAGTTTGTTCTTGACCTAGAGAAATGCTTTTGACTATAGGTTGGATAATTTATTGTATAACAGAATTTACAAAATACTGCCTTGATAATTAAGTTCTTTGGCATTATTTGGCTTAATACAGTTTTAATGTTTACTGCATCTAAAGTATGGGATACTTGAAATATTTCTTCACACTTGGAACTGTGGGAGAAAATGTACTGTTTCTCAGAAATTACTGATGTTACTATATTTAGGAGTTTATTTCAATTGTACTAGAACTTGAAGTCTCTTATGTCCTTTTTTCTGTAGTTAAGATGATAGAGGATGTTATTGATTTAGCAGGAAAATGTACCTGTAGAGTAACATGAAGATGCAAAAAAAATTATCCAAATATGGCAACATTTATTTACCTCACTGGTTATGTCATTACAAAATGTGACTTTTGGCTGGCTAACGACTCTATCAGAAGTGGGGCCTATATGATAGTTTTACTTTAAATAAACAAAAATTTAGTTTCTGTCTTGATTATTTTATTCCACCTGATGTTGCTTCTGTAAGATTTGAATGTGGTAGTGCATGTCTCTTACAGAACTTTCGTTACTTTACAGAAGAATATGAAAATAGAAAGAAATGGCTTTACCTCTCTTTCGTCCAGGACAGTGTTAATTTTCTCACAGTTGCCATGGGGGGGCGCGGACCCTGGAGCCGTGTGGGTGTGTCTAGGTTCTATACCAGCCACATAATTGCTGGGGATATGTGGCTTTGAGTGGAAGAAAAGGGGAACATGATGCAGGACCACTGCCATTTTGTCCCTTGTTTCCCGCAGTAGCAAAGGAGTGAGCAGAGTGGTGGAGGTGGTGTGGCGTGGACAGTCCAACTTGGGGGGTTTGTCCACCTTTGGTTTGTGTTGCCTCATACTCA